TCTCTTGACTTGTCATAGTCTATTTCTCTCTGATTTTAGCATTCCTTGAAAAAATTTCTATGCTTACCTTGTCTTTATAAGTATCAGAGCACCCACAACTTAACTGTCACTGAATAATCCATCTTTTTGTCAAGTTATTTTCTCTTTATTTCTGCATGTAAAGCATTGCAGTTGCTCATGTTGGCTCCCCTTGGATGTCATCAATGACCGCGCCCCCTAACAGGAAGCAATGGCCACCAGCAACTTTAGCAAGCTCTAACTTTCCCAAAGCAAGTGCAATGCAAGAATGCAACTAGGAATAGTCTATTTGGGTAGTGTACATTAAAAATAAGCAATAATCTCAAATTTCATTTTCGCGTGCAAGCCTCCCTTTAAAATATCCAACATCTTCCAGCTTCTTTGATATTTTTTGATATATTGACTTATTCCTTACAACTCCATCTAGCTCAGCCTGAATTTTTTGATCTCCCCAGATTGCAATCAATGTTTCCACTTTCCATCTCTTGTTTACAGCTGCCATTTTATTAATTTTGATGGGTGTGGTGTAAAGGGCGGAGTAAATAATACTTGTGGTTTAAGCTATATGAATGTGTTTACACTGTCACTAAGCTAGCTTTAATTATGTCTTAAACTACCAACTTTAGGTAGTTTAAGATACATTTATCAAGCATCCTTTCTTTTGTGTTTTAACTGGTTTTAGTCAGTTCACACTTCAAAATAATTAACTAGTTAAAATTCAAACCAGTTAAGTTATGATTAAACCAGTTAAAATGCTACTAGTGTAAATGGGGTATAATGTATGACTGTTGTATAGGAGAAACTTATCAGAGTGGTGATATAATTGAAGGAAATGTTGAAAATGGTAAAGAGATTAGTTAATTTTTAATCATTATAACATATTATGGCAGTTGAAGTACTGAAGATTTATTTTCCTGAGAAAGTTACTTCTGAGTTTAAGAGGATGCGATCAAAGTTTCGGGAAACATTCTTCAATGTGGGCTCAATCATGATGAAAAACCCTCAGTCTATATCCCTTGATAATATGAAATATGATTTAGGTGCTTACAACAAAACATCATTATGGCCTCAATTAGCTCAGTGTCAAAATATTCGTGACATTTTAAAATTAGTACGTGATAACAGTTCACTTGATGATATTAGTGTGCTGGAGTTTGTTGTTAATGAGTTTAATATAAAGGAGGCTAATCCAGTTATTAAGGAATATAAAGAAGCTGTTGAGGAGTTTAAGGGAACAAAACTCAGTCAATGTTTAAAAGATAAGTTTTCAAAAGCTTCACTACTTCTATGTGAAAGGATTATCATTGTCATTGATGAAGATGCTGATGGGTTTGTATTTAAAGATGTGGAGAGACTGTCATCAGCTGTATTGCCACAACATATCAGAGTAAATGTCATTAGAGGTGATGATGCTGGTGGTACTTGGAAATTTTTGAAACAAAAATCACTTACTGATAGTTTTGATGAAACTACTTTACAAACCATGTCACTTACAACTAGTCAGTTACCCGGTACATGTAATGAACTGTATGCTCATTATTTATAACTTCTTGAGTATAGGAACAGAAGAATCATCTTTCCTGGAGGAAACCAAAAAAAATGAGGATCAAGTTATTTTGCTACAAGAGAAAGTTGAGAGCACCCAAAGACAATTGGATGAAGAAAAGAAATACAGTGAAAATAAAAAACAATTTCATGAACAAGTCACACAGGAATATGAAGAAAAAATAATAGAACTTAATCAACAATACGAAAAATTGAAAACAGGTTATTAGTGTTATCAAGTTAAATTGTTTATTCTAATTGTTATTATAGACAATGAACTTGCTCATAAACAACTTGAGGAACTTAAAAAGGAACTAAAAAAAGAAAAACAAGCATCCTCAAGTTTCAAGAAACAGAAAGAAGTTGATCTAAGAGAGAAAGAAGAATCTAAAATGAAGATTGATAATCTTCGACAAGAACTAGAACTACAGCGAGTCAAAGATTACAAGGAAGTATCAGTTCAGTGTGACTACACTATCACTCAGTCAGGTATGAGTGTGTGTGTATATGTACACTGTAGTATAATGTTTATCTAGTTTCTCGTGATTCAGTGTTTTCAATATACAAAAAATTAGTTTTCCTTTTTATAGAATTACGGAATAAAATACATAAGATTAAAAATGAAATCATTAGTCACCACTAGTTATAATTTATTTATTAGAACAATTGTTAATTAGAGAGAATGAAAGGTTAGAGTCATTACTTAAAGATCAAAATGGTACTTATCATTATTAATAAATTATCAATAAATTGTATTTGATAGTACAAGTACAACAGAAAGAAGAGTATGAGATATTACAAGAGACTGAGACTGTACATACATGTACTTATATCAGTAAAGGTTAGTCCAGTATTTTCCTGCTATATACAGTACAAGTCTTTAATTTTAAAATTATTGTTATTTATTATTACTTTTTAGATAATATATCTAAATTATCAGTGATACTGGAACCATTTAAAGATGACTGGTATCATATTGGACAGTGTCTTGAAGTGAAGGAATCAGTGTTAACTGAAATCAAAAAGATGATACCAGTTGATTCAAGATTAACTCATGTACTTGAGACCTGGTGTCATGAGAAGGATAGAACAATAACTGAGCTGAAGAATTCATTGAAAAGAATGGATAGAGATGATATACTGGAAGGTAAGGATTAGTGATTGGTATAATATTAATTATATTCATGTACTGTATATTGTCATTCACTGTAGATTTACATGAATTACCTACTGGACAATATACAATGAATAATGATGAAGAATATGATATTAATGGTATGTTGTTGTTTGTGAAGCTGTTGACATGTTTATTAATTATCATTATTTCTAGTAAAAGATTCAAATGATGAAGTTAAGGCTC